AAGTTCCATTTCCAGAGGAAGCACTGGAACGAGACACAAATAGAGGGTCATGATGCATAAAAATTACAACCAGTTCCACAACTACGGCATGTTTGGTTGAATGGCAGCAGAGCACACAAGAGGAGGCAGGGGTGGGGGGGGATGGGGAGAGGACATCCACATACCGGGACCGGGTGGGTGCCCTTTTTGGCAGCCCTGTCACTGTCACCGAGAAGAGCAGCCTGATTTTCCATCGTCCGCTTTGGGAAAGAGCAACCCATGACATCCAAGGACCGTCTCGGCACCTCGCACATTGAACAAGGCATCTCGGACTGCTGTTGCATTGTGCTGGTGACACGGCTGCCCTCAGGATAGTCACACGGATAGGCAAACATGAGGGGGTAGGCAACGTGGCTCTCACCAGACGGATCCCGCACCATTGTGCTTCTGCACGGAAAATAAAGAGTAGGACAGGGTTGTGTCAAGGCGGATCAACAAGATGCATGTGCAAGGAACCTCTTCGCTGTTAGGGGCCTGTTTCCGACTTACGAAAAAGAGGCGTCAAGGATCGGCTTGAAAACAATGTCCATACAACGCTGAAACAAAGCACTCTTCACAGCAGCAGACACATCTCCATCCGGCATTGGTAGTAGAGCAACAAGCGCCCGCGAGCTCATCCGCCACCTCTGTTCCCTCGGGATGTTGGCAAGGGTCATCTGCAAAGGCCACACCTTCTGCCGACCATTATGACTGAGATGCGTAACATCGCTTGAGGCGATGAGGGCGGCAACAATGTCGTCTTGGCTCGGGAGGCTCGCCTGCCAAACAGGTTTGCGCAAAAAGCATGAGAGACTAACTCGTGCACCAAACGACGACTTGCACTCCCAGGCTGAGCAGTCAAGGTCAGGCAAACACCAATGCACCTCACCTATGCAGCCTCCCACCAAAGTGCGCTTTCTGGTCGCCCGTACTGACGCCGCCCTTCCGCATCGTACTCGGGCTCTGGCTTAAGCTTGAACCCCCCTCGATTCTCAGGGTCCGCAAATAGGGTCCGCATAGCCTGGTTTACACGATCGCTATGTGTGAGTCAAAGCCAGTTACCAGAGCCAAGACATACTGTATTCGAGCTGTATCATGCGACCACAAAGGTCACGTACCTCGAGGGTGTCGCAAAATTCGAGCTCCATTGGTTCGCTCATGCCGGGAACCTGAACCATTACCTTATGCCACGTGCGAAGATGACCCCCCTGGACGCTGCTGCCGTACCTGTCAACGTCCCCGAGACCATGCCAGTCAGACACTGCAGTACGATCGAACCGTGGGTCGTTAATCAGGTGGAAGAAATCCTTGGTTTCTTGTTTTGACAAGCCGACGCCATTGCGCACGGACTTTATGAACCGGTATACTTCCTTCTTGGTGTCGAACTCGTTCAAAGTATCGGGGTTGAGCGGCTCCGATGGCAGGTCTGCGTCATCCCCCTCGGCAGCTGCTGGTGCGCCATGCGGAACGCCTGGCGCTGACTCAGCCGATAGTGGTGACGATACCCCTTCGACCACCGGTGTAGGCTGCGGGGCAACGTGCTGGTGTGAGTGAGATAGAGATCCATTAGTGCAGTCTGGACAAGTAGCGATCTCTGGAACTGGGACAGGCCTATCCCTACATACTTCGTCGCGAGAGGAATGGTTCCTCGCGGCGGAAGCACGGTCAAACGGACGATCACAGCGTCCGCAAGTAGCGACGCATGTAAAGACCAGCGGGAGAATGAATGCGCTAAGGAACATGACGGATCTGCATACTCTCTCAAAACCACGCCTGTACTTGCTCATTTCTTAAACACGACCGCTTTTATGATGCGCTTGGAAGATGTTTACGTAGCCTAAACGAGAGTGCGTAAGTGTGGGTGATTTAGCAACAAATGCGGAGGAGATGCAAAGACAACTATCCCCCCTGCTTGATGCGCCTAGGCAGTGTGGTGACGTGTCTCGTAGGGACACTCCCACTGGTGACCCCAGCTAGCTTGCACAGTGTTTGGAGGACATTGTGACGTACAAAAATGTTGCCACCCGGATGAACTTCTACCAGAAAGACGAGAAGCAACATCGGACAATTGCCCGACACTCGCACTGTAATTTTGCACGCCGGCCTGCGACCTCTGGGTTTGTTTCTTTTTGCCGCATTTATTTGTGACAGGTCATAAAGGAGCCTGTCTGAAATTGGACAGGGTAACAGGACCGCAGTGTGTCTTGGGAACTATGGTACGTCGCGCTCCACCGCCTGAGCGCAATACATACGAGACAATAATTGACACGCAACAAAAATTGGGCCTTCAGAGCCCCTCCTGCCCTACACAGGGGAACGAGGTCGGAGGGTTGGAAACCACCGCCATCACACCAAGACACTCGCGTGGCCTGTAATTCAACGACAACATCTCATAACTTCTAAACCATTGGTTCCATTGGCTTGTGTAGGCAGCAGTGCATTCGTCATCCCCATCGAAGTGCCTCGTGTAGACTAGATTGGCAAACCGAGATACGGACATGCCAACACGTGAAGCCACGCTTCTGGTCGGGCTAAGCTCATCTGTTCCAAACACGTGTGTCCTCGTTCCTATAAATTTCGGGTGTTTGCAGCTCGTTGCGTATAGAGCAGGGCATGGCCTTGCAGCACGCGAAGGCGACTTTCTGCACTGCCATCTCGGCCGTATACTGTACGTATTCCCCTGACCGATTCACTTTGTATTGAGCTTATTGCAATTTAGTTTGAACGGAATATCACAACCGTCGTGTGAGGTCATGGAACCCATGAGGCCTAAGTCTACCGAGTCCGCAGTGCCCTACGACGAGACGCAGCCGGTGGATAATGGCGAGGAAGCCGAGGTAATTTCTACCACGCCGACTTCACAGCTCAGTGGTGGCCACTTATCGAATCATTTACTAGATTGCTTGCGCATGTTTGGCATGCGAATGACACCCGAAATGTGGCAGGAGCAGAGGAGGCTCAAACGGTCAGGCGAGCTCCGCGCATACAAGGGCGGGTTACATGACAGCGTAGACCCAGTCGCGGGACCAAGTGGGCATGCGGCACGCAAGAGGCGCCAGCCGGGAGCTGCAGAGGACGCTGGATGGCAGGCGAGGGTCATGGAGCCTTCGAGCCCTACTCAACACCATTAAAGCGACGAGGAGAATGTACCGGGTGAGGGGTGATGCATGTTTATGGTTTCCGCACATTGGAACAATATCTGCAATCTGCTTGCTAGTAACACTGTTGAGAACCTCTTGTGCAGATACTAGAGTGGCAAAGGATCCTTACGGCCGTGTAGACGTGTGGTTTGCGTTGACTGCGGAAATGCTGCCAACCTTGGAGAGAGAGAAGCTCTGCCGGTTGTTATGTTATTTGTATGAATAAGTGCATGAAACTTCTCATAACGACCACTGCTGTCAATAGTGTGTTTGAGTTCTTTTCCCAATTGCTGATGCTTAGACTGATTGAGATAAGTACTGAAGTGTTTGTGGATTTCTGATTACTTTGACCCTTGTGAAGTGTTTAGCGCTGTGCTGCAAATGAGGTTTTTACAAAGAGCTAGTAAACACAATAAATTGTACTCTGTGTTGATCGTTGCGCAGCGGCATGCTCCTATAACGCACAAGATACTGAACTAGGTGGTGCAGGCGTCAGCATGTGTTCGCCTGAATTTTCAAGTGCGACAGGGCCTGTGACACTGGCATTTGAACACCACCCTGCACCATTCTAAGCATTACTGAACCACGCATAACCTTTTCTGACCTGTTCGGAAAGTCACTTCGCCCAAAGTCCCACGCCCTCAGCTGTTTCCAGAGTGCCATCAGATTTGAGTATCGCTCCTATTTACCCTTTGTTTTTAGGGTAAGTACGTAGCACTTACTTTCATCCAGGCAGTTGGTGGGAAGCTCGTTTGAAGGCATCTTCATGAGATTCTGGCTACGGGGCAGCGTGCTCTCGAGTTTGTTCTATTTATTCTGGGGAATATGACTGACTAGTTCCCTCTACAATGCTGTAAAGGAGACGCTTAACTTATTTTGTGGTGTGCATATCTACCCTTGAAACCCAGGATGTTGATTCAGATACTCCAAATTCGACCAGGCGACAACAAAACCTAATCAAAGAGCTGGGAACGACGAGAAGAGGTGGTCATAACCCTCGAAGGAACACGCTCAAAACGTGTTGGAGTTGGCTGTGCTGCGGGCGGAGCAGTGGCCAGGCGTGACTGCCAGCAAGAGCACAGTGCAGCTTCCGCCTTCGTCGTGCATCAGCGGCTGCGCACCGACTGTAATGGTCTGTGGCGTTTGTCGGTGCTGATCGTTTCTCCCCAGAGACGGATTCTTTCGGTAGTAGCCAGCTAGATTCCCACGTGTGGTGTAGAGACATCATGTCTACCGCGTACCAATGATCCGATATTACATTGTTTGCCTACCGCGTACGGGCAGTCAGCCACAGGTTCGGTGCGCCGTCGAGGATAGGCTATCGCAACTAATTCTTGTAGTGCCCCGTCACATCGTAAAAGGGATTTCGCACTGGGCAGCGTGTCGAACACCTTTCGCCTGCGTGTTCGTCCCCTCGCTCACACGGGTATACTTCGAAAGTCAGAGCTACGCGACTCGCAGCTTGGTAAGGCAGGGAAACACTAGGGTAATGGTGGGCACTCGCATGGTTTTGGCGCGGTATAATTCCACTGTAACGTGTTCTTTATTCCCTTCACTCGTGTTCCGAATCTTTGGACGAGTGGTGGGTGTTATAGCGTGGCAAGGCGCCATAACTTGTAATCTGGGTGGAACATGGACAACGACTTCAGCGAACTGCTGGGAACCGGCGGTGATCATACTCCCAGTGGCCGAATACGGTTCCCTAGCCAGCGCTATCCCGGGAAACAATGGCACACAAATGACAGGCCGTCCAAGAGGAACAGGCAGGGACGGGATTCTGCTGGCCAGGGTGTCCAGTTGTCTGACAAGAATTTACGCCTGATGCATAAGGCGCTGAGAAAGCTGGCGAGGCGCCAGGAGTGGCAACCCCAAAAGCAAAGTGGCAGGGCGGAGGAGGAGGAGAAGGGGGAGGAGGAGGGTGGGGAGGAAGAGGAGGATGAGGGGGAGGAGGACGACGATGACGACGACGAGGAGGAGGAGTGGGAGGAGGAGGTGGAGGAGGAGGGGGTGGGGGAGGAGGATGACAGTGAAGGTTGACTTGTTTCCTTACCACCTCCCCACCTTAGCAACCTCACCATGATTCTCGAATGTGTAGATGGGTGCTATTAGATCGATTGGGACGCAACCATGCGTGAGGCAACTACATATCCAATGCGACACTCATTGTTGCTTCTCACATGAAGCAAAGTTGGTGGCCCTTGTGCTTCCCCTGGCAGAGATTAATGGACATGATGGGGGGGGAGACGACACGGGGCAGGCACCTGGCGATGTTGAGCGCAGGCAGCCATCCCGTCCCACAGGCCGGGCTGCAGGGAAGAATGGTGGCGCGTCGCTTGCTGGAGGAGGTAAGCTGTTCTAGGCATGCAGCTCTTGTCGTAGCATGCCCTCTGCTCTTCTGCATAGTGCGTACGACAGAACGATATCATGGTGGCCATACCATGCTGGTTAGCGACCTTCCCCCTATCATGTTGCATTCACCTCCATTGTGCGATTCTTCCGGTCTAGCTAACGCCCACTCTGCTTTTGGACCAGGGCGTGGTCAGGGGAGGGGGCATGGTGCAGGCCGGGGTGGAACGGGTCTTGGCTCCCACGTTGCTGCTGCAGCCCACAACGTTGAAGGGGAATCCAGTCGTGAGCTTGTAACTTTTCCTTCTCTGCCGTTCCCCCCCTTACTAATTTACGCCTCTCCTAGCTCTAATCAGCACCCTTCTTGGTTTGCTATGTCTGTCCCAGGCCATTGTTTGCAAGCCATCTGTTGTATGTTCGTGGGGTCGTAACCATAATATCTTAAGGCTAGTAATTCTAATTCGGTATATCGCCACGGAAGCCCAAGCATTAGTGTCTTCATTGTGTATCGCAACCTCCCTTCCGGCAGAGCGAACACTCCGTCTCAACCAGCTTGGGGTTGCCTCTACGGGCAAGCCGGGAGCTGCGGGGTGCAAACCAGGCGTGCTCAACTTCCCGTGGAGTGGTGGCGGGCAGGCTGACTTCTCATCCGCCATGAGGATGGTGCTTTGCCAGTCGAGCGAGATGCAGCATTTGGTGTCAGAGTCCACGCAGGCCACAAAGGAACTCACCGTGGTGGTCAAACAGCTCGTTCGGCTGCAGAAGAGTCAGGGCGAACAGTTGGCTGCTGTGCAAGAGACCTTAGCCTCCAACGCTCATCCCACCCAGGCAGTAGCCACCACTCCGGCGCCTGTTGTCGGTCCAAGTGCTCAGGAGGACAATTCATGGGCTTCGGAACTCAGGCGTGCTGCCAATTCGATTCCAAGCGCCAAGAGCCTGTCGGTAGGCGCGTATTTCATTAGTGAGCAGGGCGAACGGGTGGGTTTTAGAGTAGGGCTGGTGATGTTGCTGTTGTGTTGTCGCATGCACGCGCTCTGTTTGCAGGGCATGCTGTCCTTAGTGTGGTGTGTTGCTGGGTTGTAGCCATGGTGCTGCGCTGGGGACCAGTGCGGACTCTGGCCGTCCTCATGATCCTGTGTTCCTCTCTGTGTCGTCAATCTCCACCCCTGTGTACGTGTACTGTTTCTGTCCCTGGGTTCTCACGGTTGTTCTGATTTTGCCCCCACAGAAGCCATGGGTGGCTGTCTATTACAGGTGCATCTTCTCTCCGATCAAGGGGAATGATGCAGAGCTGAGCATGTGGCCCTTGCCTAAGGTGGTTGCATACTGGACTGTTTTTCTCCAGAAGGTCATGCAACACCACGAGGCGAATCTGGTTCTCGTGCTCAACAATGCGACCGATCACCAGACACAATGGTCATGTGTGAGGGGCAAGGGCAGAGACGGGCAGGCAAGCGCAGACAAGGGCAGAGACGGGCAGGCAAGGGCGGACAAGGGCAGAGACAGGCAAGCAAGGGCAGGGACGGGCAGACAAGGGCAGAGACGGGCAGGCAAGGGCAGGGATGGGCAGAAAGGGGAAGGAACGGGCGGGCAATAGCAGAGACAGGAAGGCAAGGGCAGGGACGGGCAGGCAAGGGCAGAGACAGGCAGGCAAGGGCAGACAAGGGCAGAGACAGGCATGCAAGGGCAGAGACGGGCAGACAAGGGCAGAGACGGGCAGGCAAGGGCAGGGACGGGCAGGCCAGGGCCGGGACGGGCGGGCAGTAGCAGAGACAGGCAAGCAAGGGCAGGGACGGGTGGGCAAGGGCAGAGACAAGCAGGCAAGGGCGGACAAGGGCAGAGACGGGCAGACAAGGGCGGACAAGGGCAGAGACAGGCAGGCAAGGGCAGGGACGGGCAGACAAGGGCAAAGACGGGCAGGCAAGGGCAGGGACAGGAAGACAAGGGCAAGGACGAGCGGGCAATAGCAGAGACAGGCAAGCAAGGGTAGGGACGGGCAGGCAAGGACAGAGACGGGCAGGCAAGGGGAGGGATGGGCGGGCAAGGGCAGAGACAGGCAGGCAAGGGCAGGGACGGGCGGGCAAGGACAGAGACGGGCAAGCAAGGGCAGGGACGGGCAGGTAATAGCAGAGACGGGCACACAAGGGAAGGCAAGGGCAGGGATGGGCGGGCAAGGGCGGACAAGGGCGGAGACAGGCAGGCAAGGGCAGAGACGGGCAGACAAGGGCAGGGACGGGCAGACAAGGGCAGGGACGGGCAGGCAAGGGCAGGGACAGCCAGGCAAGGGCAGGGACAGGCGGGCAATAGCAGAGACGGGCAGGCAAGAGGGGACAAGGGCAAAAATGGGGAGGCAAGGGCAGGGACGGGCAGGCAAGGGCAGAGACGGGCAGGCAAGGGCAGGGACGGGCGGGCAATAGCAGAGACGGGCAGGCAAGGGAAGGCAAGGGCAGGGACGGGCGGGCAAGGGCGGACAAGGGCAGAGACAGGCAAGCAAGGGCAGAGACGGGCAGACAAGGGCAGAGACGGGCAGACAAGGGCAGGGACGGGCAAGCAAGGGCAAGGACGGCCAGGCAAGGGCAGGGGTGGGCGGGCCATAGCAGAGATGGGCAGGCAAGGGCAGGGACGGGCGGGCAAGGACAGAGACGGGCAGGCAAGGGGAGGGATGGGCGGGCAAGGGCAGAGACGGGCAGGCAAGGGCAGGCACGGGCGGGCAAGGGCAGAGACGGGCAGGCAAGGGCAGGGACGGGCGGGCAATAGCAGAGACGGGCAGACAAGGGAAGGCAAGGGCAGGGACGGGCGGGCAAGGGCGGACAAGGGCAGAGACAGGCAGGCAAGGGCAGAGATGGGCAGACAAGGGCAGGGACGGGCAGACAAGGGCAGGGACGGGCAAGCAAGGGCATGGATGGCCAGGCAAGGGCAGGGATGGGCGGGCAATAGCAGAGACGGGCAGGCAAGGGAAGGCAAGGGCAGGGACGGGCGGGCAAGGGCGGACAAGGGCAGAGACAGGCAGGCAAGGGCAGAGACGGGCAGACAAGGGCAGAGACGGGCAGACAAGGGCAGGGACGGGCAGGCAAGGGCAGGGACAGCCAGGCAAGGGCAGAGACGGCCGGGCAATAGCAGAGATGGGCACGCAAGGGCGGGGACGGGCAGGCAAGGACAGAGACGGGCAGGCAAGGGCAGGGACGGGCGGGCAATAGCAGAGACGGACAGACAAGGGAAGGCAAGGGCAGGGACGGGCGGGCAAGGGCGGACAAGGGCAGAGACGGGCAGGCAAGGGCAGGGACAGGCAGACAAGGGCAAAGACGGGCAGGCAAGGGCAGGGACAGGCAGACAAGGGCAGGGACGGGCGGGCAATAGCAGAGACGGGCAGGCAAGGGCAGGGACGGGCAGGCAAGGACAGAGACGGGCAGGCAAGGGGAGGGATGGGCGGGCAAGGGCAGAGACGGGCAGGCAAGGGCAGGGACGGGCAGGCAAGGGCACAGACGGTCAGGCAAGGGCAGGGACAGGCGGGCAATAGGAGAGACGGGCAGACAAGGGAAGGCAAGGGCACGGACGGCCGGGCAAGGGCGGACAAGGGCAGAGACGGGCAGAAAAGGGCAGGGACGGGCAGACAAGGGCAGGGAGGGCAGGCAAGGGCAGGAACGGCCAGGCAAGGGCAGGGGTGGGCGGGCAATAGCAGAGATGGGCACGCAAGGGCAGGGACGGGCAGGCAAGGACAGAGACGGGCAAGCAAGGGCAGGGACGGGTGGGCAATAGTAGAGACGGGCAGACAAGGGAAGGCAAGGGCAGGGACGGGCAGACAAGGGCAAAGACGAGCAAGCAAGGGCAGGGACAGGCAGACAAGGGCAGGGACAGGCGGGCAATAGCAGAGACGGGCAGGCAAGGGCAGGGACGGGCGGGCAAGGGCAGAGACGGGCAGGCAAGGGCAGGGACGGGCGGGCAATAGCAGAGACGGGCAGACAAGGGAAGGCAAGGGCATGGACGGGCGGGCAAGGGTGGACAAGGGCAGAGACAGGCAGGCAAGGGCAGAGACGGGCAGACAAGGGCAGGGATGGGGAGGTAAGGGCAGGGACGGGTGGGCAATAGTAGAGACGAGCAGACAAGGGCAGGGACGAGCGGGCAAGGGCGGACAAGGGCAGAGACGGGTAGGCAAGGGCAGGGACGGGCAGACAAGGGCAAAGACGGGCAGGCAAGGGCACAGACAGGCAGACAAGGGCAGGGACGAGCTGGCAATAGCAGAGACGGGCAAGCAAGGGCAGGGACGGGCAGGCAAGGACAGAGACGGGCAGGCAAGGGGAGGGATGGGCGGGCAAGGGCAGAGACGGGCAGGCAAGGGCAGGGACGGGCGGGCAAGGGCACAGACGGGCAGGCAAGGGCAAGGACGGGCGGGCAATAGCAGAGACGGGCAGACAAGGGAAGGCAAGGGCAGGGACGGGCGGGCAAGGGCGGACAAGGGCAGAGACAGGCAGGCAAGGGCAGAGACGTGCAGACAAGGACAGGGAAGGGCAGACAAGGGCAGGGACGGGAAGGCAAGGGCAGGGACGGCCAGGCAAGGGCAGGGACGGGCGGGCAATAGCAGAGACGGGCAGGCAAGGGGAGACAAGGGCAGAGATGGGGAGGCAAGGGCAGGGACGGGCAGGCAAGGGCAGAGACAGGCAGGCAAGGGCAGGGACGGGCGGGCAATAG